TCATATATAAAACACCTGTGATTCACAAATACTTAAGGAACTCGCATTCACATAAAGTAGCCTTGTTGACAAGTTTGGGTGAGTAAGGGCAAAACGCAGTACTTTCAGTGACCTGTAATAGGCAGTATCAGGTCTTTTGTAGCAGAAATAAACTGCTGCAGAAAAAGGTAGGTCCATGCAAAATGTAATGTGTAACTGCAACACTCATTTCAAATGTAGTGGAGTAAAGAGTACAGATACTCATTCAATAATGTAGTGAAGTAGAGAGTAAAAGTTGCTAATATCTTTGATACTCAGTACAACTACAAAGTACCCGAAAAGATACTCAAGTACAGTAACTAATTACATTTACTCCAATACTTTACACCTCTGCTGCAAAGCAACAAAATGTGATCATTTTAAATGGAGGTGATTCTTATCTATACCCACTGTACATTTATACATACAAATACACACACAAAAAACCCTCACAGTATGAAATGCATAATAAAAAATAAAGTAAAATTTACTTTGAATCCAGTCTGCATGTATTATTAAACACAGGCTACCTTATCACGCAGCTTTTCTGCATCATGTAGGTCTCTCCTTAGATTGTAGAGATCATTCACCAGCTCCTGGTATTGTGCCTGACTTTGTTGCTTGAATTCCTCTAATGACTGTGAATCAAGCTTTTCGTGCTCCAGAGTTTGGACCTGTGTCAATGAATTGTGTGTATTAGGCATTCTTGTTCATATATTGTTTAGTGTAGCCTAAGTGATTTACCTTGGAAGCACTTTCGAGCTCTTGTATACGAGCTGTAAGGAGATCATTTTCTCTCTGCATCTGCCAGATCAGCTCTGGACTTGGCCTCTGCTCCATGGCATTTTTCAAGGTTATTGTCTTTTTCCATTGGATCTTTGAGTCACTTTCTGCATTCATTAAGCTGTGTTTCAATTTCTCAATCTTATAGAAAGGACCAAAGAGGGGGAAAAGAAAATACACAAAGAGAAAAGATCAAATTTAAAGAGAAAAACAAAGAGAAAAGATCATAAAATTACATTTTAACAATATATGACTAGTGGCACTCATAGACATGCTACAGGGATGACGTATGTTTGTAGGCCAAAACTCAGAAAAGAGTTAGCATTTATAGCACTTACAGTTCTTTTACATTTACATTTCTTAAGTTCTTAAGTCAATAGGTTTTTTCGGGCGTTTGGCTAAATGCCTAAAATAAAGTCTGCAAGCACAAGCTCAAGATATTTTATAAAGATATTTTTTAAAGCATTTACTTTTCTTGAAAAAGGCTTTTGTTAACAAGTGGCTAAATGGGACTACAGAGGTTAGGGACATTAAAAGTCATCACAACGAATAGGAAAACTCATCTACTCACTAGTCCTCTTTTACCAAAGTCTTTGGTTTTTACAGCCTCATTATGTTCATAATCACGTTCTTGCAAACTATTCTAACTCAGACTTTCAGGGAAAATGTTTTTTAAATAAAGACTGAAAGAGCTGCCAGAACTGATGGTGGCTTTAACGTAATGCGACTGTGTTGTAATTTGTTTATAGCCTACATTTAGATTTTTACTGCTTGTGATTGCCTGCATTTAGGCTTCAAAATTCATAAAAATTGAGTTCATTTGTGAAGAGTATGATAAAACACTTAAGAATCATAAACTTTTGTTTGTTGCTGGTCACAGAGCTTATTTTCTGCAACAATTCAAAAGTCTAAAAAAATCCTATTAGGATCTTGTTGAGGGAACCAGGGAGATGTAACTTCCAGGTCGGCCTACAAAAAAACACAATCACTGCAGCACTCAATTACAATTATTACCATAACTGCAAATAAATAAATGCATTTAATTTCTTATTTCTATCATTAGATTTTGTTGTGAACTATGACCAGGACATGTTCTTGACAGGTTTTCCTGGTGGACTGACTGATCACCTCGAGCTGGAGGTCTCTGTTACACATGAGCGCGTAGTTCTTCTCCTCGCTTGATCGGGTCAAGTCGTGCATCAATCGGTAATTCTCGTCTCTTAGTTTACGCGCTTCCTCGCACATGCGCTCGCGCTCATCTCGGATGCGCTGCACGCGGCCCTGCTGTTTGTGCAGCTCACTCTCACACAGCTGCAGCTGGCGGATGGCGTCTAGCTGCTCCGCCGCCTGCGCAGACACTTCGAGTCGCTTCCTCCGTTCGTCCTGTGTGAGCTTCTGTAGGCGAGAGACCTCGCTCATGAGGAACTGAGTGAGGCCACATTCCCCGGCAGTGTCTGGGTGAACAGACAGAGAGTTCTATAAACCAGTTTCCATACAGACCCATGGCAGACAATATAGTCAACAGGCACAGCATTTCTAGCTATGCTTCTGGACTCTCAGTATAAAAGTATAAAAAGCAAAAATTGTTTCTCTAGCACAATATAATAACTTTCATTTAGAATATTATCTTAATATTAGTACATTTTATTAAACAGTTCGTTTGCAAATTCAGTCGAGAGAGTGGCCTTCCAACAGTACTGGGACTTGCAATGTTTGTGTCACTCTTTCCATACAGACTGTGTCAGTCTGGACATTTGTGGTGGGGACTTTTCAGAGACTCTTCTTGCAGTGTACATTGTTACACCTTTAGGTGGCAACAAGTGAGTGTCTTTAACAGTGATTTGTTAAATCATCCATTCAACAGATTAATTTAAAACAGCATACTTTCTGAGTAGGTACTTCTTCTGAAGTACTTTGCAGCTGTTAAAAAAACCATGTTCTATGAATGTGTGTAGTATGCAGTGCTGGGTAGATTACTTACAATTTGTAGTATGTTACTGATTACAAATTGCATGGTGAAAATTGTAGTTTGTAACATAATCCGGATTACACATTAGGTAATGTAGTTTGACTACTTTTTGATTCCTTTTAGATTACTTTTGACCTAACTCGTTTATCACATACAGTAGTGTGATAATGTTATTATTATATACCATAATGAAAAAAAAAAAAGAATATATATATATATATATTTCATTCTTTGTTTTCATTATCATGGGGTTCGTGAAAAAACTGTTCAAGTCACAACTGTTCATGAAAAGCTAATAATGAATGAAATCATAAAAATGTCAAAAGCTTGGGAAACCCTACATTACATGAACAAACATTAATAAACCTGAAAACATGAAATTTTATATCCTCTCTAAGGACCCCTTTTAGTACCTTCAGGGCCCCCTGGTTAAAAATCCTGTGGCAATATTTAACAAAGTCTGTTCTCCTTTGGCCTATGATGATAGCAGTTGTTAGAGCAATTATGATTTTTATTTGCATAAAAGGTGTGGCTAAGGTATTTTATGCTTAACATTTTTTTTTAAAAGGTATACAAATAAACTGATACGTAATAAAAAATGTACAGCTTACCAATAAGTACGGAGAAGACCCTAGCAGGCTCTTTGCCGGTGATTTTGCGGTATACATCTGGGTAGTCTAGCTCCAAACTCTCTAGAAATGCCTCATATCCTTTGAGGCCAGTTCTTTGTAATATGTCCAGCAGCACCCCTATAAGTGAATAAAAAGTCATTGCTGAACCATATCTAGATACCACTTAATATAAACGTATATTTAGAAAATAAGATAGAAAGCTTCAGATTATACAGTAACTATTTCTTTCAACAGTATTTAATGTTTTAAAACAGTTAAACTTTAGGTGGCCTAAAAAACTTACCAACTTTTCGGCGTCTGATAACCAGACTGGGGTCGTTGTAGATCTGTTCTTCATCCTCGCTGCTCAGCACTTTACACTGTCTCAAATAAGGTGTTATCCTTGAGGGCTCAATAGTCTTGATAAGAAGCATTCTGTAGTCTTCCAGCTGTGCCCAGCACTCATCATCCTCCTCCACCTCAAAACCCCCTGGGCCGTCAGACATGACTGACACTAGCTCTCTGTTGGCTTGAAAATAATTGTTTGATAGCAGGTTTTAAGGCTAAGCGCACGGTACACATTCAGCTGGTCTGTAAACTGAAAAAGGAAATTAAGTTCATTGAGTACTGCGGTGACATAAGTTCCCTTTTTCCAGTTGTCATATCAGTTTTTTTTTATTTTTATTTTTTTATTTCCCTCTATTTCACAACAAATTGTTGAGCCGCAATGCACTTTCGGTGGTATTTGGTCACAGAATGAGTCCATAAAGTTTTTGACATTTTCTGAAGAAAATGTATAGTCAACCATTATTAATATAAATGTATGATTTTTTTTTAAAAATTTCACAAACTTTTTGATTCAGGTGTGGGTTACACATTATGATCATGTAATATAAAAGCATAGAAAATTCAAATGCTTATAATACAAAAACACAAAGAACCAAACAATGACAACATTTCACAATTCTACAGAACAATTTATTCAAAAAGCAGTAACATCAACAAAATGAAAGTATATGATAATTCAGTGCAAACTTCTGAGTCTTATTCTTTCAAGAAAATTGTCAGGACACACTAAGTGTTCTTAAACAAAGCATATGGATGGAGTAAAAGAAATGAGTGCAATGAATATCTGACTGGTCCCTTTAACTCGAACGTTGAATTTTTTGTAGTGGTACACATTTCTACATTAATCTTGAACTGTACAAAATCTGAAGCTACTGGCATTCATTCAGCTGATGAACCTTATGTAACTCAACGTCGACTCCTTTTCTTTTTGTCCTGATTCCTGAGAAATGGTTTGCTGACGCTTCGTTTTCATTTGTGTTAAGCTCAGCCCTCTGAAAGATATAGAAAATGTATAAATTCTAAAATAAAATAAAAAAACAAAAACAAAGATTGATTCAATGTTATACACAACTTACGGTAGCTGGTGGTTGAATCCTTTTTTTTCTCTTTTGTAAATACAAGACCTCAGCATCATCACCATTGTTATCTGTAGGCAACTGACATTTCTCAGAAGGGTTTATAGTGGCCAAAAGGGCTGGTAAGGTAAAGCATGACAAGAAACGAGCCTTCAAAAGCAGGTATGCTGGATTTGAGGCAAACCTTTCAGCAATCATTTTGCGGATGGCAGCTACTTGATCTTCTTCCTCTCTGTAATTTTGATATTCATCTGGCAGGATATTCACTGCAGCTGCAAGCAGTGATTGTTTAACTTTGAGCAAAGAAGTCAGTGTTTCGATGCTGGCGGCAGACGGTGGAAGGTAAGGCAAAGACATCTCTAAATGAGGTAGTGGAATTCCACCTTTTCCATTCATCCAGTCATCTACTTCAGATGACTGCTCAGGGAATATCAAGTGGGGATTAAAGCTAACAACATCAGAGGGAATATCAGGAAGAGGGATCAATGGTTCACTTGATGTTATGATTTGAGGTACTTCTGATGGAGCCACAATTTGAGGTGGTGGAGCTGCAATCTGAGGTGATGAAGCCACAATCTGAGGAGGTGGAGCCACAATCCAAGGTGATGGAGCAACAATCCGAGTTGTTGGAGCCACAAACTGAGGTGATGGAGCCACAATCCGAGGTGAGGGAGCCACAATCCGAGGTGAGGGAGCCACAATCTGAGTTGGTGGAGCCACAATCCGAGGTGAAGGAGCCACAATCTGAGTTGGTGCAGCCACAATCCGAGGTGAGGTAGCCACAATCTGAGTTGGTGGAGCCACAATCCGAGGTGAAGGAGCCACAATCTGAGGTGACAGAGCCACAATCTGAGCTAATGGAGCCACAATATTAGGATATTGAGCTATAAACTGAGGTGAAGGAGCAATTGGTCGGAGCGGTCTTCTAGAAGTAGAAAGGGGGCTCAATATTGTGTCGGGCAAACTTTTCTGTTGGATGATGGTTGGCAGCTGAATAGTTCTTACAGGAACGCAGCCATTTTCATTAACACCAGGAGACTTTGCCACTGCAACATTATTTGTTGGCTTGGATGCGACTGGTGCACTAGCAAAAGGTGCCACAGTCAAGGGAACTGGAAGAACACTGAAAACAGCAGGAGATACTCTGGAACCAGTTGATGTAGATGTCTGATATTGCTTTACAATGGATTCATCAGAAGAGGAATCTGAGGAGTTCTTCATAGCTTCAATGTGTGAACCTTTCTGGTCCTCTTTAGGTGCTGGAGATAACATCTGAACACTATGTAGCACACTTTTGCTCTGTACTAAGGTCGAAGTAGGTGAAAGAGGCATATGGATGCCTTTGGGGCTAATGTTCACAGAGGAGGAAGTCTTTAGGGTATCTCTGGAGGCATTAGTGACTGAAGAACATATAAGGGCAGGATTGACAGAAGAAGCAGCAACAACCAGGGCAGATGATGATGGGTATAGATTGGTTGAGATACATGGATGAATACTGCTATTCAGGGGGGAAATGTTTGGCACAGTTAGTGTCTGGTTGCTTGGGATATTAGCAGAAAGTGGACCGGTTACTTGTACCAACTTGGTGGGGGCAAGAATCCAGTTTACTGGCTGCGTCTGCAATGTAATGGTCTGAAAAACAACATTCTGTTTGCCTTGGTTTCGTTTCAGCGACTTTTTTTTGCTACCTTTAGCTTTAGCTTCTTCCATTAGGGCTGGGACTTTCTCAGTAGGTTTGTGGATGCGTTTTGTAGATCTGTCGCTGTTTGAGTCCTCTACACTTGGTGATTTGGGGGTTGAGGCCATGACAGGTTGTGCAGGTGCTGTCTGCTGTATTAGTGGTAGAGGAATCTGTGATATAGCTTGTGGTGGTGACTGTGGTAGTAGAGATATTTTCTGTTTCGTAAGCATTAAAGGCTGCACTGCCCTCTGCTTGTTTGGCTGTGTAATGACAAGAGTTTTGGGATGAATCAAAGCAGGGGTTGTCATCTGCATGACTGGCTGCTGGGGAATGTTAAGAAGAACCGGCTGCAGGGGAGGTGGATGCTGAGGAGGTTCTGCAGGTTTCTTGTGCTCAGCTTTCTGTTTTGCCTCCTTAAGCATCGCTGACACTTTTTGAGGAGGAGCCAAATAACCATAGGAAGGAAACATTGACATTAAGCATGTTATGGCAGAAAGAATTGGAGCTCTTTGGATATGTGCATTATTTGTTATTATATTTCAAGACTTCAAAATGGATACATATAAACTGACATACCTGTTCTCGGTTTAGATTGAGCAATTGGCTTCTGGAAAAAGACAAGACAAGAGAGAACAACTGACAATACTGAGGGAACACTAATCTTCGAGGTATTACTTTCTTTAAAAAAATACTGCATATTCATATGCACATCAGCAACAACGTATGACAACTAGGCTAATTAACTTAAGATGCTGGATAGATAAATACCTTAATGTCGATCTTTTGCTGAATTTCAAAGACATTCTTGCAACCCTTGACATCTATTTGAAAAGCCTGTGTTAAGGAAATACAACCATGTGAAACACTGCCGTCTTTGTTTCTTTTATTTCATCGTAACGGTTGACAAAGTTATTAGGCTTACTTTGAGGAAAAATGAAAACACTGATGTTTTTGGAAGAGTGATGTCTGCTGCTTTCATTCCAACAATATCACCTATAAAATGATTATTGATGAATTATTGACCAAAAAATGCCTTGAATTACTCATAACTAGGTCCATATTGAATCTGCACACTAGAGTACTATAAACTAAACTGAACTTATTGCTTAAAGTCAATGTGAATTGTAGTTGCAACTCATTTTACTTCCACAGGGTTTCTGCAGGTTTTATAAAGGTCAATTTAAGACTTTTAAGACCTAGTAAAGAAATTTTAAGGAGTAAATTAAAAGAAACACAATGTCTCTCTTACACAATATGTAAAACAATGTTTTTCTTGTACATCTCTTACAATGCGTTCTCTAAATATAAATGTCTAGGGAGCTCACAATGAGTTGTATTAGCAGCACTTCAAAACCGATCTTCCAAGCTTCCAACCGATCTCCATTATTTTGTCATTCATTTTACAAAAAATAAAATAAAACAATAATAATAATTGCTTAAAGGGATAGTTCACCCAAAAATGAAAATTTGATGTGTATCTGCTTACCCCCAGAGCATCCAAGATGTAGGTGACTTTGTTTCTTCAGTAGAACACAAACGAAGATTTATTGGACCATTGACACTCCTAACTGAGATTGTAGACAGAGTGTCAATGGTCCATTTGAGAGATAGGTGGCGGTAATGCACTTATAAGTGCACCGGCTGTCGAGGACGCGCTCTGGACAGTTCAGACATTGCAGTGAATCAGAGGTAAAAAAAACGATATAAATACTGTTCAGTTTCTTGCACAGACCGATCGTTTCATGTCTTTACACATCAATGTATGGTCACGAGCCGCAGGGTTTAATTTGGTTTTGTTTGTGTATGTTTTTTTGACTAGTAATTTAGTTTGTTTTAGTAATTTAGTTTTTTTAAATATAGTTTTTATTCATTTTTATGTCCGCTTTAAAATATATTTTAAAATATAAAAAAAATTTTACACATACACACAGATATAGATATATGCATAAATTAATTAAATTTTGCCTAGTTTTGGTCAAATTTAAACCGATTTACATTTATTTTCCTCAACTATTTAGACACATCCATTTAAACTCAGGCATGATGGACATCCTCGGCAGAGTTGTGAGTGGCGCTCGACCCTCCTTCAGACAGACTCCTGGAGCATCAAGGTGCTTTAGGTACGAGGGTTTTTTCAAGGAGCGTCTGGAGCGGAAATGCCTCTGACAACATAAGACGGACGACCCACAGCCGCTGGCATTAGTTTGATAAGCTGTGGTCCGGTGGCTGCGGCGGGCCGAATAATTTATTGTGACTTCCACTCCATCCTCATTCTGGGACACCTTTCTGTGAATGCGCTGACAAGTCAATCTCTTGGCAATGCATTACTCAGCTGTTTTATCTTAAACCAGCAGCTCTCCTGTGGATGAACAGCCATATTTTAAACTCCAGTGTCTCATGAGAAGGTGCGGATGCATTGGAATGGCCGGGAGGGAGTGTGTGTGTGTGTGATGCATTAATGCTCTATTGATTCTCCTCTGCCCTTCATGTGAGCGTTCAGCGCTGAACTCCTCTGTGCTGAAGCTGTGAAGGGTTTCATTGACTGATCTCGTTGATAAGTTCATGTCATTGTCGGCTTGACAAAAATGGCCAGTTGTCTGTGGTGTTTGATGGATATGATATTCAGCACACATAAACATCAAATTTTAATTTTTGGGTGAACTATCCCTTTAAGGCTTGAATACCTCTGCTTCCAACCACTAGAACTAGAATGGAAATAACTTTTTGTTAACTTTTGTTTTCCAGTGCAAATGTCTGAAGAATCTTAAATCAAAATACATTTACTTACTTGGGTCCAGTTAAATTGATTTATGTTTAAAACATGAACAAATATCTGTCAGTGGGCTCAGATAAAATCAACTTTATTAAAATAAAAATTTTCATATATACTATTGACATATTTGTTCTTGTTTTAAGTATAAACTTAATTTTGTTAAATGTTTCAAGACTTTTTCATTTTACATTGGCATCTCAAGTAAATGTATCTTCAATTAAGTATGTTACATTTGCATTGGAAAGCTATTTTATTATAGATTTTTTTTTTTTGGAAAACAAAAACAGGAAGATATTAATTTTGGCAATGCATGCAACATTTAATGCAATGACTGCTCTGATGCGAGACCTTTTTTAAGGCTGTAAATTGTGCAAGGGCAAATTAAGACCTGCAGAAACCCTTCTTCAATAATGTGACATATTCTGGAGTGAAACAAGATATTTAACAAGAAAAAAAGAGGGCGAAACTTTATTCATCAGCAATTAGCTGTCTGATATGTGAGGCTGCTAAAACATTGCTTCAGTACCACAAAAACCCACAAATGTTTAGGTGTTTTGTCAGAAGTGAAACAAGGGTCTGTACCTTTGCAAAATGCATCTTCATTCGCTGGAGCAGGCAGGATCACATTACCAATCCACGGGGTGATGGCTTTAAGGAGGTCATTATTAAGGCTAGCCATGTCCTGAACCGGCCTTCTTTTCTTTATATTTATTGGACTTGTCATTTTCTCCTTTAGGTCATTTTGAAAGGAAAAATGCATACAATCAATGTAACGTAAGTGTATTATTTATTTAAAATAATATATTTTCTAAGTATGATATTATAAAGACAATACTGCCTTAACAGTCTTAAGTCTAAACAAGGCTATAGTTTTAAATCTTATTAGCTCTTAGAAAGTGGTAACTATTTTCTAATATACTTAAATAAATAATAATAATGTAATGGCCTTATAAATGTAACCAAGTATCATCTGTGTTAACCGTACCTTCTTAATTACAGATGCTCCCTTCCACTGTAAGAAGTGTTTAATATCACTCAGAGACACCTTGAGCATGGCCTTCTCATCGTCAGTCTGCATGCATGAAATGAAATTCATTTTTACACAGAAGCATTGCAGAACATATAAATAAAATAAAAAAACGGGTCTGACCTGAAAAGAGAAAGAAAACATCTTACCTGACTCTGCAAGACAGTAGGTTTTAAACCTACATAAGTTCTTTCCACGTTTCCAAAGCGGTTCAGGACAGTATTGCGCACGAAACTGAGCATGACTTTTGGACATTTGCTCTTCTGTGATCGAATGCGGCCGAAGACAGATTTTTTAGTGGATTCTTCTAGCTCATCCTCGATGGTAGGAGGACAGACCCACACAGTCCTGACAGTTCCTAGAGAATGAACCACTGTGTTTGCATTTACAGGTATCCATTCCTTCATATCTGGCTGTACGTAGTCCTTTCGTGGTATTTCCCGATTTTGTGGTATTTCCAGATCTTTGGGAACATCTGATTCAACATCACTGTCCATATTATTTATCTGGTTTTCGTCCTCGGAGCTGGTGATCATCTCTTGTTTAATGTTTTTTTTCAATACTTTTTGTCTTTTTCTTTTTCCTGGCACTGTTGTTGGCCTCCTTTTTCTTTTTATGCCTTTACTCTGATGCTCTTTACTTGTACTCTGAAGAAAAACAACAACAACAAAATGTTTATGTTTATTTATGATATTTAATCTTCTTGAAGGATGCAAGATATACTGAAGAATGAACTTACAGCTTGTGTTAGTAATTTCCACTTGTGTAGGCATTGGCAGTCAATCCGGTTTGGGATCTCTGAGGCAATCTTACTCCACTTGCCTGGAAAATAATGAGCACATGTGCCCAAACATTTTAATACGATGGGCCAAAAATCAAACTTGACTGAGGACCATTGCCCAAAAAAAGTAAAATTGAAAATAAAAATTTAAATAATGAATCAAAAATGTAACAAATGTTTTTTTTTTTAATTTGTTAAAAAAATTTAAACAAAAATATACATTACAAATGAAGATATATTTCAATGGCATTTTTAAAAAACCTTTCCCCTGCTCTTGTGATATAGCATCACAGGCCAAATCAAAGGTCATCACAGGCCAACTTTTTCCCCGCAGGCCCTGGTTTGGGCATCTCTGATCTAGAGTCATTAGAATACAGTATGGATAGACTTTGGTCTGAAAAACAGCCAATACAAGTGGATAGAGTTTTTTTTGAAGGCTGAGACAGTGTCTACATTGAAAATGACCATCTTGAGGTTGTCTGTGCTAAAATACAAGTGCCAAAGCTGCATGTCACTTCACAATGTTTGCACTAACCATGAAACTATGAGCTGTGAGCAAAAGTAAAATGAAAATAAAATCTGTTGGTTTAAGAATTTTTGCATGTAATTTCAAGAAGTTGAACAGTTTTATACCTTTTGTTAGATTTTCTCCATATATGGTTAAAATCAAAACAACAAAATGCTTTCAATGTCATGACGAATCATCTCCTCTCTAAAGTAACATCATGAGTTGGCCTTGACATAATGGTCATTAGTTATTTAAATACACTAAGAGTGTTATTTAGAGTTTTTCATGTTTTTAAAGTCTCTTATGCTCACCAAGGCTGTATATATTTGATCAAAAATACAGTAAAACAGTAGTTTTATAAAATATTTTTATTTGATTGTTCCCTTGAAATTGTAATTGTGATTATTATTTACGATTATCACAATTTACAGTGAATGTTTGAATAGCTTTATACCATTGTTTGAAGCAACTGCATGCTATATTAATTTATATGAAAATAAGCACGTTGAAAACACTCTTCCTGAAAAAACGTATTGCTTTTCAAAAGCATTAAGACTCAAATGCCAACTACACATTGGTTTGGTTTCTTCTTTAAATTAAAAAAAGTAAAAATATGCATGTTATTATAATGTTATTCAAAAACTAAAATTAAAACAATGGAAAAACCCTTAAGAAAATAAACACACATCTTAAGCATGCAGAATAATGTAAGTGGACTTTTTTTTTTTTTTTTACATAAATGTGGCATCCGTAATTATAATCACGATTAGAAATTTGATTAATTGTGCAGCCCTAATTTAAATGGATGCTGGATGTTGTTTCTGCCTATTTGAAGACTTATTAACGCTAATTTATTGAGATAGCGATAGTTCATTCCAAAGATTTCACTTACCAACGCCATATTTCTCAACCTTTTCTTTTAGTAGTTCCACCTCCTCTTTGCTCCAAGGACCCTTTTTCACATTTTCCTGAAGACAATCCAAATACCTAAGATGCAAAAATGTTCATATTTACGTATCTAGCACTAGTCAATCCAGCCAGATTGATTTGGGTGTTGAAATGATTTCAGGGATGTTATTATGAAACATTAGTTGCAGAGCATACATTTACTTTTGTCTGAAATGTGTCATACTATACCTGTCACGACAAGCACCGTCGGTCCTGCCTGGCACTTCCAATCTGATTTTTCCCCATTCTTTGGTGCCATATTTTGCGACAGCATTCCGCAACAACTGATATGAAAGCAGTTAGTCAAATTAGTGAACTTGATTAGTCAAATTTGGCATGTGGCATGCAACAGATTTTAAAACATTGTGTCTTCACTGACAAAATATGGTACAAAAGCAATGCATTAAATCAGTTTCTCATTTATTGTAAGAGAGCACAATATACAAAAGTAATTAAGCTCCATACTTGGTCCTCCTCTTTGGACCAGGGGCCTTTCTTTAAAGAAGGATCCAAAACGGACGTCCAGCGATATGCCAGCTGTGATCCATCACGGCCCTCCATGAAGTATGACACTGTGGAGATAATAAATAATACAAATATATAGCCCCTATGATACATACTTGTTTCCAAAACACAATTGAAGTAAATGGAATCTATAAATGAAACCTGTCATAAAGGACATATTCTTGCATTTAAAACAAATTCTTAAAAAAAATACTATTTTTAAAAGTGCAGTCAGATGCAAGAACACATTGTGTGTGATCAATCCCTTGTTGTTCCCTTATTGTTATTTTATTTTGAATTTGGCTTATCCAAGCTGATTTCAGAGTCAGAATGATCTGTTTCAGAAACAAATGTGCAACATTCAGTACAAGAGCTCAAGAAGACCCAAATGTCTCACTCTGTATGTAAGGAATGAAGTTGCCAATTCTCATTTTTTCAACCAGTTTTCTGAGGATCTCATCTTCCACTTTTGTCCATTCTTTCCTTCTGAAGGTCTTTGAAATGTAGCGCTGGTAAGTCTGGAAGCACATGAAAGCCGTTCTGTTTGTCTGGAAAAAACAGATATATATAAATATATATATATAATATCCGTCAAAGTATACATATACATATATGAGGTGAAGGTAGTATTGTTAAACATATTAAAAACCTTATTAAATAGCATGTTAACATTAGCAGCTGTTTTGAAAGTGCATGAATTTCTCTACCCTTACCCCAAGAGCCTCTGCGATTTTGTCCCAATGGCAGCAATTGTACTCTTCTACAATTCCTTTCAGTTTAACAATCTCGTCCCGTTTCCATACTGACTTGTCAATGGAGGGGTGTAAATAGTTCTGCCAGAACCTGTTCAAATCCTCAGCCTGTCGCAACGCTTCAAACTATCAAACACAAACAAGTTCTTTCATACTTTTGAAATGGAAAACTGATGTTATAAGACAGAACTAGATTTATTTGGATGCATCTTAATAAAATAACTACATAACTTACATCAATATTTGATATTTTCTCCCAGTCATGATCGTCATGGCGATTACCCAGCAGCTGATCGTCTTTCAGGGCACTGATGATATTATAAAGTTTGATTACACATTTTATTGCACACTAAGCACACAACCATTCAAAAGTTTGGGGGTCTGTAAGATTTTTTTTACTGCTTTTGAAAGAAGTCACTTATGCTCCCCAAGGCTGCTTTTACAGTATTTGATCAAAATACAGTAAAACAGTAATACTGAGAAATACTATTATAATTTTTCTGTGTTTTCTATGTGAATATATTTTTAAATCCAATTTATTCAAGTGATGGCAAAGCCGAATTTTCAGCAGCCATTGCTCTAGTATTCAGTGCCACAAGATCCTTCAAAAATCATTCTAATATGCTGATTCGATGTTCAAGAAACATTTCTGATTATTATCACCGTTGAAAACAGTTGTGCTGCTTAATATGCATTTTTTTAGGATCGTTTGACAAATAGGAATTTCAAAAGAACAGCATTTATTTGAAATAGAAATCTTTTGTAACATTATAACTGCATAGAATTCTTTCAATAAATAAATAAATAACTCTAATCTTAAGGTGCTTAAAATACCTGTACCTTATTTCTACAATTTCTTTCTCAATTAAATCTATTTGTTTTTTCAGTTCTTCTTTTCCCTCATCAGCAGCTCTAGACATCTTGGCACTCAGATAGTCCAGCCTATGAAAACAAATGAAACATCTCAAACTCTCAAAATGTCTAAAAACGGCCATTTTCTACAAAAATACACACATACTTAAATTTACTGAGAAAGCAAACTTGCATTTCTAAATGCACAACTTTTTTTTGTATCGAAATAGAACAGACAGGGCAGATATTTAGGTTTGGTTTTCCTTTTTCCAGAACTCACTTGGATAATTTGGGTTGTAGCATCCGTTTCATAGTGTCTTTGGCGACTGCATTGGTCAGCAAAGTTTTCTGCCAACCGTCCCCTGAAAGAAATAACCAGCATTTTATTTTTATTAAAAAATCACTTAGATACAAGTAATAAAAAGCAAGCATGCTGTCACAAAACATACATCTTTTTATTTTCAGCTCATCAATGGGTCTGGTACCATGACTCAGCCTTGCTTTGGTTTCTTCATTTGCTGGAGGGCCCTAGAAGCAAACAAAAGAAAAAATAATATGCAAATAAACAATAATAATAATTCTGGGATGCAAGATCATAACATACCAGACCGGTGAGTTTGTCTTTGAAGTAAGGCTTCATGAAGTATCCAAGAAATTGTTTCTGAGGGGGAATTCCTGGTAAGGAGGAGCTAGAAGCGCTTGGACCAGAGATCTGGGCCTCAATCTCTTTCTGTGGAGGTACAGTTTAAAATAAAAGGCTTTAAAATGGTTCTGCTGTAATTAAACTCATGCAATCGGGCGGCATGAAGACTCTGTTTCAATGAACTCCAGCCCTGATGTTTGTTGTTCACCTGCTGCTGTTGGTTCTCATTGAGGAGTTGTTCCAGCTCAGCTAGTTTCTCTTTCAACACCTCCTGATAGACCAAATTCATCTGCAGGCAAGTCTCCACATTTTGAGGAAGATCCAACTCATCATCATCACTGTCTTCATAACTCTAATGAGAGCAGAACAATACCGTATTATAAGCATTTTAAAACAATAATGGGAAAATATAATATAAGCATATATCAAAGAAACAAAATGGTAACTCACAGAATCAGTGTCATGTTCACTCTCTGTTTTGCAAAAAAAAAAAAAAAAAACAAACAATTCCATAACCTTTCCATCACCATTCCAGTCATTTGGGAATGGTGGGTAAAGATTTCATCAAAACAAATTTAGATCACTAGTGAATCATTCAGAAAGTTTTGTGAACAAAATTTGGATCTAAAAGAATTATTCACTTATGATTTAACTTGATTCACTTAATTCACTCACTGGTAAATTAGTGCAATGGGATGCCCAAAAGACAGAGGAGAGACGGGCATCTCTCTCACAGATAGGAGACATTGACTTACCATCACTGCTGCTGTCAGATGACAGAAGGTTTATACTGCTGTCTGCACCCAGAGTACTCTCAAGAGCCAAAATCTCCCTCTGGATTTTATCCCTTTTCTCAAGTAACTCATTCGATTCCATGTTAGACAAGGTGAAACCTGAAAACATTTTACAGGTTACCGAGTTACAACATTGTACACTTTGCCAATGTGATCTTACTCATTTGCAGGAGTGTAAAGTACATATATATTATTTTATATTCATATTTAATATTAATATTATTTAGGGCATATTTCACTGGTCTAAAGAATTTCCTATAATTACAAAACAAAGTCTATTTTATTCTCTCCTGTGAATTTTAGTTTTACTTCCCATAAAACAGCAAATGAAACCACTATCATTTGATCATGCATCATTTTGAATCTACAGCAATGTTTTCACCAAAGATGGACTACAGCTGAATTTAAAATGTAAAAAAAAAAAAATTACATATAAAGTGTTTGTTACATATTTAAAACACTGAGAAAATTTAAAAGGTTGGTTTACAAAGTCTCTTGATTTCATTTTACATACAGTTCTCAAGTCCAATGAAATGTAGATGTTTTTTTTTTTTATTATTAATATATTTTTTTTACTTTCACTCATGTGTGTGTTTGGTTAGATAATAGATGTTTAGGTGAGTAATTTATTTTCTTTTGATTCAGTACCTACTTTCTCTATTTTTACCTGTAATGTTTCACGTCTACTCAAATGCAATGCTGTAGAAATAAACAATAAAGCTTTAAACAAATACATTAAAACCCTCTATATTCAATATACAATAAAAACTAGTCACTTCTAGACCACAAAGCAGAAAACACAAGTACATGAGTATTTGGCAAAGGTAACAAACGAACAAAATATCTAACTTTAGTTGTCTGTCTGTGCAGTGCGGACATGTACTTACATTAGTTTCCTTTAATGGATCGTGCTGCTGTGAGCTTCAATATTGCAGCTCTTCTATCAAAACAACACAACAAAAACACCTGCTGGATCCTGCAGCATCACTGCACTTTTGTCCCACTCAAATCTTACGGGACAGCAGCATGTTTACAAAGAGTGCACTTAGCGACTCTGCAAACTAGATTTACACTTATTGCACAATAACTCAAAGTCGTTGCTTTTAATTGCTGTTTGCAAACAAAGATTTACATAAATCGTACTTTAACTGTCAATAATAATTCTTCCCTGGTAAAACTACTCTACGCTCATGTAACGTCATGTGTGTACACACGTGAAGCGCGCGTCAATAGAGCGTCATCTTCACCGACACTTCATAATAAAAGTCCCGGCGCCTCTCAGCTATTAAAGAATTAGAAGAATGTTTTAATATGTTCATTACTACGTTAATTAATGAACATTAAATTTATACTTACTGCTTTAATATTTAGCATAGATATTGTATATGTTAAAAAATAGATAAATAAAACGGTTTTAGCATCTATTAAATGTTAATGTAATGATTTAGAGATACTAATTGTTAAATTCTCAATCAACAACAAGACCACGTGACTGAAATAATCTTCTTTATTAAGGCAATAAAGAGCATTCTGAATATAAGGCACATCATCCAATGTTGATTAGTAAAGTATTTTTAAATAAACAAATGCTTAAAATGCTGTAAATTTAAAACAGCAGAAATATACAAATGTGTTTAAGTTATATATCAAAATATAATCAAGAATCAAAATCTGGTAAATAATGTGCAATAGAATTTTAAGAAGGGACTTGACTCATTGTTTAACAAAAGTGCAAAACGTTTTTGAAAATATTGTTTTCCACATACACTCCTACAATACAGATCTTTGATTTTGGTGAGAGAATCCAAGACACTATTTGGTACACTTAAGTGTTTATATGCTTAAGTTCCTGCTAGAGCTTAATTTGATCATCATATTGCCCATCACACCTCATTTTGTTATTTCATAAAACCTAAACATGATGCTAATGAAGTGGATGAACAAAATAAATAATGATGTACCACGGTCTAAATGCAGTGAGTCTATAGTGTACGGAACATGATGTTTGCAGAAAAAACTTAATCATGAATCTCTGTGATCTTGTCAATAGATGTCAATAACTGGGAAACAAAACAGAGTGTCTCTCTTCCTGACAGCAACTGCCTGTAAAAATACAAAACACATTCAGTGCAATGATATATTAATTTAATTTATTTACATTTCTGATAATTATTAAATGATTGTAGAAAAGCACAATAAAAAGTAATGGTCGTTGTTAATCATACTTGATAGAAGTCTCTGCATCTTGAGCTGCTTTGTTAAGGTACTCAGAGGCCACTTGTGCATTGTGTCTCATTGTAGTTAAGGCTGTAGTTTCTCCATATCTTAGCCTCTCATTTTCACTTTTATATCCTTCAAGCTGGCCCTGAGAAGAAAACATAAAAAATAAACACGATGGAGTTTTAATCTGAACAATAACAGAAGTGAAATAGATATCTTGATTACAAATTCATATTATACAGTAGTATATAGCTGTATTACATTATATATGTACCATTACATATAGAGTGCTTGTTATAAGTGTGCTTGTGCATATGGAAAGAAGTCAAACCTGGAGTTGTTGTATCTCGTTTCAATTTTGAAATACTATTTTCAGCTTTGACTGCTCGCTTCTGTATTGGATAAAACAGAATTTTAATTTCTTAAATGCAGTAAATAAAACATTTTAAAGATCTTTACACCAAAAAAGATAAAAAAAAGGTTTAATTTATTAAACCTTAATAAAAAATCTGTCATGAATGATAGCACAATGCTTAATACCGTCATTAACTGAAGGTTTTGTTCTACTGACTGCACCATTGTCTCCAAAGCCTTAGCCTCTCTCTCCTCCTGTAATTTCTTGCTGTGCAACTCATCAGTCAGTTGTTTGATCCTATTACAATCGGAAGGTTTAATTATGAGAAATCATCTAAAAACTACACAGCAGCAATACATATAAACTTCAGTCCATTAAAGGAATGGTTCACCAAAAAAATGAAAATTTGCTTAATATTTACTCTTAGGCCATACAAGATGTAGACGAGTTTGTTTCTTCATGGACTGGAGTCGTGTAGATCACTTATGAATTATTGTGATGTTTTTATCAGCTTTTTGAACTCTCATTCTCACGGCACCCATTCACTGCAGAGGATCCATTAGCAAGTGATGTAATGCTAAATTTCTCCAAATCTTTTCCGATGAAGAAACAAACTCATCTACATCTTGGATGGCTTGAAGGAGAATACATTTTTATTTTTGGGCAAGCAATTCTTTAATTACCTCAAAAGAATTGTAATTATTTGTTATTTTACATTCAGTAATGTAACATATTATTTGTGTAAATAGCCTACCTTTTGGAGTCAGATTCTGACCTTCTAAGGAGTTATTTGACTTGCTTTCTGAGTAGGGAATTCTCTTCTCTGAGCTAAAACCCATGAAACAAAAACACCTCAAGAAATTTACATTTTTGAAAAGCAGCATTACACCAATTATAATATAACAATTGGCTCATATATATCCAAAACCTCACACCTTTCTCAATTCACACAACATACCTGTTGGGGATTCTTTGTGCCATTTTCAGCATTACTCCTCTTAGGATGGATGGAAATGTCAATCACTGAAGTCTCTTCATCACCTTCATAGCTTCCTGTGCTTCTTCTAGCTAAGTGGTCCTTTGGCAGGAAGTCAGAATCACCCAGTTCCCATGCAGTTACATTTGCTTCCCTCTCATGACTGCTCAGAGATGATTGCTCAGAGTAAGCGCTGAGGTCTAAAGTGCCACATAGATCGAAGTCTTGAGAACCATCAAGGGCTGATGGGTGGCAGCTTTCAATCCACGTCTCCTCAGGTTCGTTTTCAGAAGGCTGACAGAGCACAGAGGGGTCTGTGAAGAAAGGCCCCTTCGTGGCAAAACTTTAAAGGGACATTAAAGTAGGGACGTCAGTCAAAAGTCATATCATCTACTTAAACCTTAAAATCTTTGTCATGTTGTTTGTTTCTCACCTCTTTGGCTTCTGTAGGACAGGGCTGCTGGTTCTTGTTTCTGATGAACTCCTTGAAAGAAAATGGATTCAGCGCATCTTGCTTTGGCTCATCTGAGAGTTCATTTGTACATGCGCACAAAAGACATTAAAAATGAAGATTTCAAGCCCAGAATGCTCTAATACATATTCAAGACAGGCAGCTAGTGCTGCTTTATTATCATGTTGCATTATAGAAAGAGGAAAAGACAAGCAGGTTGACACGTACCATCTTCAATGATGAGATTTTTCGTCTCGTGTTTAGACATGTTAACTTACAGAATCAACTTAACCAGATACGTAAACTATCCAGCAGACTGTAATTGCTAAATCCTTGAGCTCAACATTACACGGTCAGTAGGAGAGGAAAAGCGATGAAGTACAGCAGAAAGTAAAATGTATTCCCAGTAAATGTTTCGTTTAATTATTGTCAATGTCAAATATTATGTCATAAACCATAATTCATTACTGTATTTTACAAACAGTACTAATCTCCTGCAATTCTAATGTCTCTGCTTCTGTATGGCAGAGAGCAGTTTTTCTACAGGGAACATGTGTCAGATCGCCACCTATCGAGGTGGAAGATACAAGTTTACAGATCGGAGAGATGGTTGATGTTTAGTTATGGGAAATGCTGACTATGCTGTTGTTGCATATTAAATGACAAAAAGATATTCATTTTGATTATTCTGATATAGCAAAACATTTATAGTGTATTCCATATTTTTAAACCAACAGTTTATCGGATATAATATTAATTAAATAATAACTAATAATGAAATCTTAATGTCCTTGTCGACATTTTACATTGTAATGTAAATGCAGCACGAATTAACAAGAATTTGCAAACCTGAACAGACAATTTTCTTATGCAGCATTAAAAACGGACTCTTTAATTATTATTCTACCTAAATGCAAATAATATTGGTTAACTTCTTATTAAATTTCACTTGTATAAGTGTGAAGTATATGCAATATCAGTTATTTTAAAACTTGTATGAGAATTTTAGGAGTTGTTTAACCTTTACATTATTCACTTTCTTTCTTTCTTTCTTTCTTATTTATTTATTTAAATAATTATCTGTGTTTGTCAGTTTTTAATCTACAGTCCTTTTTTTTGTATGTGGTTTATAATCACAATTTGACATTACTTCAATTGTAGTATTATACGGGTATCACACTGTTTGCAAGCGTCTTGTAGGTCGGTAGATACCTGGAAGCGGCTGGGCGACAGAAAGTTTTACAGAATCTGAATTTTCGGTATGCTTTTCTCAAAGTACAGATGAAAACAGCCCGTTGTTTTCAACGGCAGAGCTGTGCTCCAGCTTTTAGGCATCGCCGCTCCCATCCGAGGCTGTTTTGAGAGTGTGCAGCACGACGCGTCTGCATGTATACGTACTTCCACCAATCACAGTCCGCAACCTCACGCATGCGCGACCGACCGCTGTCGCTCTCGAGTCGCAGGTGTCAACAGAGCGAGCGTCCCTGCTGCAGCTGGAAACCTATCAGTCCCGTCGAAATATATCAGTCCTATGGAGCGGGCGGGCAGTACAGATCGGACGGCCTGAAAATGTTCGAATGAGACCGTGAGCTCGTGTCTGTTGCCAGGGCACGTTTAAGCGGGGAAGAGGGCGGCTTTCCGGGCTGTAGACAGCGGGCTCGCGAAGCGTCTTCAGCGGGGAGCGCTGCGGTCCTGCCGCCGCCGCTGCTGCTACAATGTTCGTGCAGGAGGAGAAGATCTTTGCAGGCAAAGTCCTGAAGGTCCACGTCTGTACCGTGGAGGGTACCGAGTGGCTGGAGGAAGTCACGGAAGACACCACTATAGAGAAACTCAAGGAGAAATGCTTAAAGCATGTAGGTCTGCCGTCGGTTAGCTGGCACTGTTAGCCAACTCGGACAGGACAGGCCCGGCCCGCTGGATTCTCAGAGTCATTGCCAAGTATTTTTAGTAACTAGCAGACGAGTCGACGGTGCTATTTATAATTTAGCAAGCTGGTCTGTCACCTCCGTCTCTATGGCTGTACTGTAACTACCACTGTCACCCTGGTTGGTTTACTGTGTAGAACTGACATTAACTCGTTGACAGCCTCTTTTTGTTCACAATATATCTGTCAAGTACTCAGATCTGTGCAGCTCAACTCACCTTGACACCCATTCATATTTTCTGTGAGGATTTGATTTGCACACTTCATGGCTTTAAGGTTGTGAATGTGTTTGTAATCACTTGACTGTAGGTCAAGCCATGTTCTAGCTGCAAGTTGCAATGCGGGCTGAAAAGTACCATGGTATTACCCTGTGCTTAATGGCATAATGTCACAATTATACCAAGTTTTATGGATTTATATAATGACAATATCATGGTGTTCTTTGAAGTACCTTGGAGTATCATGTAAAAAGCAGGATACATTAATTATTCAGTACCAGGTAACATGGTAACAATTGACGCCAACTGTACCGTGGTACTACCACAGTACTGGACCCCACTGTAAGTGGGCTGAGCTCATGATTGTGATTTTTATGGGGTAAATGTACTGTTCAAAGGTTTGGGGTTGTAAGATAGCAGCACTTTTGCTGCTACTGAGGTGGGATTTGGTTAAGGTTAGGGACAGGTTTGGTGGTATGGTTAGGTTTAAAGGTGGGTTGTGGTGTAAGGGTTGGGTCGACAGTGTATTTCTGTAGTATGTGTATCTACAGTCAGGTATTCAAATATTGTTACTGTACATGTATGTGCTCAATAAGTACATTGTATCTATTGATTATATATTTCAATGTTAGTACATAGTAGTTAAAGACACTACATTTGTATTTTTCTTCTCTTACAGTATGTCCATGGAAGTCTAGAGGATCCTAAAACTCTTACACATCACAAACTCATTCATGCTGCCACTGAGAGAATTCTCACCGAATCCAAAACAGTTGCTGAGGAAAATCTTAAAGACAAAGGTATTTCAACTTACCGGTGCATCTGGTGGTTCTTAATATTTTTGACTCTAAGGCCCTGCATTTTTCACGACAATATTCAAAGGCCCCCATGATTTTTCCAGTTGTTTGTTATTTTACTGGGTAAGGATTAAGGATGAGTATTTTTAGAAATATCTTTTCTCACAATTTCTACCAGATTGAATATTTAAAAAAAAAATGTTGAGGGAGTGAATTGAACTAAGAAATATCTTTATTTTTAATTGTTTTAGCTGTTATTAAATACTTTATTTTTTCTCCATTCACCATTAAATTAAAATGGACAATTTTTTTTATTTTTAAATGGAATTTTACAGTGTTTATTAAATTATTGATCCATTCACATAATTTTTTTTGTGTGCTCTTGTAATCTTTAATCAAATACATTAACTTTTTTCTTGTTTGAGAAGTCGTTTTACTCACATATACATCACAATAGAGAAAAAGATGAACACAATTTCCTTTCATGCTGAATTTGAATCATATAAGTCATCTTGAGGCCCCTTTGGAAGTTTGCTAAGGCCCTCTATTGGGTCCCAGCCCCTGGTTAAGAACCACTGATCTAGGGTGTAGTCATGTTTTGCACATGTTCTTTGTATTTAAAATCAGATTCTGACAGACATGAATCCTGATTCATTTTTGTTTGTTTTCTAGACTGCTTATTATTGATAAAGAAAAGACCTCCGCAGGCTCCACCAAAAATGGCTGACATATCTTCTGAAGAGAAGGTATCTGGTGACAGTTTTCTTTTTGGGTGAACTCTTCTTAATTAATACTATGCATTACACTTCTAAGCTTTGTGATTCTGCAAAGTTGAGCAGTGTCTGTGCTTGTTGACAGAAGAAGCAAGAGAACAAAGCGCCAGATATGGACGGCATCCTCAAAGCCACAGCAAACCTGTCCACTCGCAACACTGACCGTGCTGTAACTCAACACAATATCAGAGATGTGGGTGCATGCAGTTTATTCAGTTAGACCTTTCTGCAGTGCAATTGTTCAGAATATGTTGTTTTACATTGTATAATTTATTTTGTCTCCTTCAGTTTCAAACAGAGCTGAGGAAGATTCTGGTCTCACTTATTGAGGTGGCTCAGAAGCTGCTGGCTCTGAATCCAGATGCTGTTGAGCTCTTCAAAAAGGCCAATGGTAAGCTATGGATAGAGACCAGAATGGATCAAATCAGTTTAAGCCTTGGTGAAACAATTAATTACCATGCTTTTCAGATATCTGCCATAGGTTTTTCTGATATATTATTTATCATATTATTTATTAATCTGACTTATTATTTAAGTACAATAGAGTAATATTGCCGTGCAAACAGTACTGCCACAGTACTTTTTTTTTCAAGAGGTCATTATTAACCTACTTTATTTTTGATCTCTGATAACCACTCAGAATGTCTGACTGGTCAGTGTGCAGGTGTAAATATAATTTTGCTCTCTTAGCAAATTATGGTGAATGGTTGTTCTTTGTGTCTTCCCTCTCTGGCAGCCATGCTGGATGAGGATGAGGAGGATCGTGTGGATGAAACGGCCCTGCAGCAGCTGACTGAGATGGGTTTCCCTGAGAGTCGTGCTGTGAAGGCTCTACGCTTAAACCAGTGAGTACTCTTACTTAGGGAATCCTCAAACCCTTTTTCTTATGTTTCAATAATCAAAATGAGCATGTGTAAGTGACACATCTGAAGTCTTTTCTTGTATATAAGGATACAATTTTAAAGGAGTAGTACACTTCCAGGATGAAAATTCTGTAATCATTTACTCACCTCCAATTGTTCCAAACTTGGATGAGTTTCTTACTTTTGTTGAACACACTAAAAGATATTTAGAAAATTTTTGGTATCCAAACAGTTGATGGGCACCATTGACTTCAATAGTAGCAAAAAAAAAAAAAAAAAAATAAAAATATTGAGAAAATCCCTTTTAAGGTTAACTTTATTTTAGTTAGCTGCCAAAGCAACGTTTCTAATTTTTAAATGTTCAAGTTTGATTGTTTCATGTATTTATATTTTAATTTATTTCAACATTTTTTTTCAATTTACTAAAACAATTTTTTTAAGTTTTAGCTAACAATAACAACACTGATAACAACAAGCTAAAAACCATTAAAACCACCCACAACGCCCTAGCATCATAGAAGCGACTTTTTCCACAGGCAAATGCCACTATAGAATTAATTTTTGTTGGTTGCAAATCCTGCAGTAATTCACATAAAATAGCTACGTCTGTCTTGCTGTGGAATCTTTTTAGATGCATCATCTCGTATCTCTGTTTGTGTGTAGGCAGTGATTGCACTGATGGAGATGGGCTTCGATGAGAAAGAGGTGATTGATGCCCTCCGCGTCAATAATAATCAACAGGATGCAGCTGTATGTAAACATTCAGAGGATCATAAAATCATGTATATTGAGTTATTTCAACAGCCAATTAAGATTAAATGAGCTCATTGATATTCTGTAAAATATGTGGTTAAGTCTTTGTTTTGTTTAGTTAAACAATATTTATTAAGGTCACATTTTTATTCCATATCCTTGTTTTGTAACTTCTGTTCCCACACAGTGTGAATGGCTGCTGGGTGACAGAAAGCCCACCCCTGAGGATCTGGACAAGGGCATTGATACCAGCAGTCCCCTGTTTCAGGCTATCCTGGAGAATCCCGTCGTACAGCTTGGTCTCACAAACCCCAAGACTCTTCTAGGTGAGGTTTTTTCCCTGTATACTCAAAGGTTCTTCAAAACAGTCAAATCAGTGATTGTTTCTGCTGTTTTTTTCTACTTTTCTGTTGGAAAACGAAATTTCTGGCTGAGCAAAACATGTTATTTCAAGGTTTTCAAGTGTTTATTTGATTCTATCCATTTGGCCTGTTATGACAGCGAGTTTTCCACTTCCTCCAGCTGAACAGTAACCCAGATTAATGATGCTGCCAGCACCATGCTTGATGGCAGGATGACGTTATCTGGGTGTTGGGCTCTGTGTGGTTTGTGGTAAATACAGCACTTTGCTTTGGGGCCAGAGTGCTCAATTTTCACTTCATCAGACCACAGCAGTTACTTCCAAAGCCTTTCAGCTTTTGTCACCAGGCTTCTCACAATATCCAGAATTATCTTGGACTTGCTCAGAAGTTGCTTCCCTTCTAGCCACGGTTACAAAAAGGACTTCTTGGAATCTTGGAAGTCAAATTTTCAAATTTAAATTTTTAAAACTTTCAAATTTTATCTGGTTGCCCCATTTGCTAAGCTGACTTGAATTTAAAATTGTCTACTACACTGTAATGATTTGCTAATTGCTAATTTCATATTTTAATATATTTTCTTAATTTTTTTAACCTACATTACCACACACAACTGGTGGGATGTTATATTTTATGTATTTACACTAATGGCTGAAAGTTTGGAATAAAGTTGTTTTTTTTTTTTTTATGTTTTTGAAAGAAGTTTGTTTTGCTCATTAAGGCTGCATTTATTTGATAAAAAGAGTAAAACCATTAATGTTGTGAAATATTATTTCAATTTAAAATAGCCATTTTCTATTTTAATATATTTTAAAATGTAATTTATTCCTGTGATGGTAAAGCTTTTCAGCAGTCTTCAGTGTCACGTGATCCTTCAGAAATCATTCTAATATGCTGATTTGGTGCTCAAGAAACATTTCTTTTCATCAATGTTAAAAACAATACTGTTTCTTTTTTTTTGGTGTAGAAAAAAATAGTTGGCTCAAACATTTGAATGGTAATGTATCACAGATTCCACAAAAAATATTAAGCAGTTAAGACTGTTTTCAGCATTGAAAATAACAAGATGTTTCTCTTGCACCAGGAATAAGTACCGTAACACTTTAAAATATAATAAAATAAAATAAAAAAAACATTATTTTAAAATGTAAAATATATATTTTTGATTAAATAAATGCAACCTCGGTGAGCATAAGAGACTTCTTTCAAAACAATTAAACATTTTAATTATTCCAAGCATGCAATTATTGTCAGTATGTGTTCCCTGGGAATAGAACCAATGACCATGGCATTGATAACACCATGTGCTATAAGATGACCTACAGGACTCATAAATATTTATTATTTTATTTATGTTTGTTAACATATTTAATGTGTTTTTTTTTTTTTAGGGTTATTAAATATGTTTTGTGTTGGAGTTCAAGACCACTGTTGAAACAGACTAAACTGTATTTTCAAGTAGATGCAGTCCAATCTGTGTCTGTTGTTGGTTGGATGTGACTGAGACATGTTTTTCTTGGCTTCACAGCCTTTGAGGACATGCTGGAGAACCCGCTGAACAGCACGCAGTGGATGAATGATCCTGAGACAGGTCCCGTCATGCTCCAGATCTCCAGAATCTTCCAGACACTCAACCGCACGTAAAGCACACCTCATCTGTGGAGCGGCCAGAACCACAGCATAGCATAGGGAAAAAGGTCAATAATTTAAAAGAGAAGTGTGTGTGTGCGTGCGTGCGTGCGTGTATAGTTTATGTGTGTGCGCGTGTATTTGGCATAACTATTGTTTTAAGTGGAGAAGTCACAAAAGATGAATGTAAAAATACGATGATGACATTTTCACATCATGTTATACAGAGGAAAATATCTATTTATAACTACACAACACTTGTACAAATACAATGTAAGCAGTAACTTAATGATAAATAGCTAACTCAATTATTTAGTTTTTTATGTTTTAATATGATCTGTTTTTAATTATATTAAGCACATTATTTTATATAATTTCTCTATATAATTGTACAATTGGACATATAAAAAAAAAAAAAAAAAAGAAAGAAAAAGAAAAAATTATCCAGAAACAATTTTCTGTTTTTCTTGTGCTCAAAGATCAAATTACAACCAAATTATTTAACACTTCACATGGTACATTTGTCATAACTGAATGTTTCTACAGGGAAATGAACAATGTGTATTCAGTTAATTTTATTATCGGTTCAAAAATGAAATCCTTTATGTATTAGATTATAAGATTCTTCCGAAAACATTGAATGAACGTATGTACAATTTAGGGAAAGCAATGCAAGCACCAGCAGTTTTGGGCAACTCCTCATTTGATGATTATTCAAGCTTTGCGGTTTCATTAACACTAAAGACATTTCTTTGATTATGTGATGACGCAATAGCAATTTGCAGCCCCTTACGGACATAGATAAGTGACATATTGAAATCGAACCTGATCCTTTTGTTCCTCTTATCTCTTTCATTCTTCTGATATTAACACATTGACATTTCTTTGATTATGTGATGACGCAATAGCAATTTGCAGCCCCTTACGGACATAGATAAGTGACATATTGAAATCGAACCTGATCCTTTTGTTCCTCTTATCTCTTTCATTCTTCTGATCTATTCAGATGGAATCTGTCCAAATGGACACAAGTCCGTTTTGATTCTGTCAGTTTAGAACAAAGATGGTATAATCGAGTACTGGATCATTACCTTAGTTTTCTCCCAGTAGCTCCTGCATCAGGGGTTTTCAAGTATTACAGTACATTTGTCCACTATCATGATCAAGCTGCTGTCTCTGATCTCGCTCGCGTCCCTGCACATGTGTAATGTGAGTCTTACTTTACATGATTACAGGAGGCTGGACAGACTTGTACTAACGCAAATAAAAGGACTTTTCTTTTATGGACTGGTTCTGTTACACGGTATGTTTGCTCAAGTTGGTTGTGTTTAATGATAATGATGAATTAAATGTGCTGTCAGTGTCATCACTGTTCTCTTATGTCACTTTTTACAATGCACTTAGTAGTTTGCACGGGAAATTCAGACTGCATTCATTGTACACAACATGTACTCTTTTATTTTAAATGTTTGGATTGAAATTGAAGCATTGTTTGCGGTGGAAACCTAAATTTGTATGCTCGGTTTCAAATACCTATGCTGGGATTTCTAGAAGAAATTAAGTTTTCGGTAAGACTTAAGTTGAAAAACGTTATTTAAACGGTTCTTTAACGTTTTTTTTTTTAAACATTTTTATTTGTATCAGATAAATATATTATAAAAATGTGGTCATACCAAACACCAATTTTAGATTCATAGATAATTGTGTGAAGCAGAGGATGAAATATGTTTTTTTGTTTCATTTTGGCCAAGCCTGGAGTGTTTCCATTCAATATTTGAATCGTGTTGGTGTGAAGTGTGTGCTCAGGGGTTTCTTAGCCATATCGGGCAAATATCTGTTATAGTAATGCCTACCTTTATCAATACAAATAACAGTAGATTAGTGATTGCATTATCAGAGAACTCTTTGAATATATCTGAAAGCTTACTCTTTAAATGAAAACTTACTATCCTTGTGTGATATTTATTTTGAGGCCAAATATAATCAATCATGAAATCATCCCTAGAGAGATTATGTCATTATAATACCGTTTTAGAAGGCCGAACCTATTAAATGGTACGCCATGTTCATTTCACTCTCTGAGTGGCTTCAAATGTATTTAAAAAGATTATGTTTAACACATTCAGCATTTGAAATCAGATCATCTCCATTGTCTTGAGAACAAGTTTTGGGTCCGTATAAGCAAATATAAGCAAATGTAGTTTATATTGTTTTGGGGGACTAGAGAGTACAGGTTTCTATGCAATTCAATTTTTTTGTTGCCTCAACAGAAAAACATGATGCATTTGAGTAATTGATGTGCACTTTCATATCATGTCTTATTTTTGATTTGAATCAAATTTTGGTTTCATCATTGGTAAGCTCTGTAAAGTAGAAAGTGCTGTATGATTTCAGTATTTTAAAATGTTTGGTGTTCATTCATTCATTTACTGTTTAGAAATGCTTATATGGTTGAACAGTCTCATTTTGGAACCTGAATGTTCATTTTCCTAATGCCAGTGTGCTGAATACCTTATTAAAATGATCGTTGATCAAATGCTAAGTTACAGCTTTTTTTTTCTCCCTCATTTCAAAAAGGTGATCAGGTAACAGAAGTTATGATGAAATATCCTGAAGGTTTGGTGCTCTTGTGTTAACATTTTACTTTTGTGTCCTTGCTTTGTGTACAAGTTCAGTTTCACATAGGGCCCCTACAGTCTGAGAGCTAAAATTTAACTTGTCTCCATTTGTTGAAAAACCTTTCATGAAAATAATAATTAAAAAAAAGTTTTGAAATTCCAGTTTTCTCTAATTACTGTTGTTTTTATTCTCAGTATGACCACTTGTGGAGAATTCAACATAGTTCAGAAGTCTGAAAACAGCCAAATGTCTTTTTTTTTTTTTTTACATATTTCAAAGCCTAAAATCTTTCACCACTCCCATATACCCTGTAATATACAGTGGGTATAGAAAAGTATCACCCCTCTTTAAAATAATCACATTTTGTTGCTTTGCAGCACACAGTTTTTGTTTTATCCAGCTGTATTTACTCAGTGCAACTTATAACATCAAAGTAAAAGATATAACACCATGTCAGAAAAAAAAAAGAAAAAAGAAACAGTCGGAAAAAGGATCACCCCCTCCTAAAAATGAATTGTAAACTCAATCAGGTGTAGCTAATCAACGTCTCATGGCACACAAAGACAACTCTGAAGCAGTTGCAGAAATTTATGACAGAGTGGTCATTGTGTGCATGTAAAAACAATATCACAAATTCTTCACAAATTTGGCTTGAATGGGAAGGTTGCACTCCTCAAGAAAGGCCACATGCAGTCACGACTGAGCTTTGCCAAAAGCACCTTGAAGATTCTGAGGCAGATGAGACTAAAATTGAATTATTTGCCCTCAACACCAAACAATATGTCTGACGGAAATCCAATACAGCTCACCATCCAAATAACAGCATTCCTCCAGTAAAGTATGGAGGTGGTAATATGTTATGGGGTGTTTCTCTGCAGCAGGGACTGGAGCACTTGTCAGGATATAAGGAAAAATGGATGGGGCGAAATACCATCAAATTCTTGAGGAAAATCTGCTGCCCTCTGCCAGAAAGTTGTCAGTGGGAAGAAGGTTTACCTTCTAACATGACAATGACCCAAAGCACACAGCAAAACTGACCACACAGTGGTTGATGGAGAAAAAGGTGAATGTCCTTGCAGGGCCTAGTCTGAGCCCAGACTTAAACCCCTTTGAAAATCTGTGGAATGACTTGGAGACTGCAGTCCACAAACGCTCACCATCAAATTTAACTGGACTTGAGCCGTTCTGCAAAGAAGAGTGGGCAAATATTGCAAAGTCTAGATGTGCTGAGTAGAGATGTATCCCAACAGACTAAAGGCTGTAATTAAAGCAAAAGGTGGTTCAACAAAATACTGACACAAGGGGGTGATCCTTTTTCCAACTCTTTTAACACTTGGATGTTAAAAGTTGCACTGAGTAAATACAGCTGGATAAAACTAAAACTGTCCGTCTTCATTTCAGGCTGCAAAACAACAAAATGTGATTATTTTAAAGGGGGATGATTCTTTTCTATACCCACTGTATATGTTGGTTTAAGGAAACCATTTCACTCAGTTAGGCTTAGGCTTAATGATATTACATTTAGGCCTGGTTTCACAGACAGGGCTTAGACTAAGCCAGGCTTAGGCCATAGTTCAATTAGGACATTTAAGTAATTTTTATAAATATGCCTTAGAAAAAACATTACTGGTCTGCATTTTGAGACAAAATAAAGGCACTGATATATTTTAAGATCAGTCAGTGCAAGTTTTTTTCAGTTGAAACAGCTCAAGACTTAGATTTTAGTCTGGCATTAGGCTTAAGCCTTGTCTGTGAAACCGGGGGTTAGTGTTATTTCAGTAATATAGCCTATATATTATATATGTTATAGAGTTTATTAACATTTTGAATTAAAATTTAGTGTTTAATTCAAATTAATATTTTTAATTAAAATGTAGTGCCTTTATCATTATATTCTTTAAATATTTCAGTAATTGATTTCTGTTTTTGTAATTTCAGTACTTTAATTGGGTGCTAAGGCAACATTTCTAATTTTCATGTAAGTTTTTTAAGTTTACGTTTTTATCAAATATTTATATGCACATAGAGTGATAAAGTAGTTTACAAAAGTTAATAAGCTATTTGTTGAACACTGGTGTTTTTACTAATTTCATAACATAACAGCAGAAAGCCACTTGAGGCAGTTATATTACCGTAGTTAATTTAATATGGTTATTGATTTGGATTAATATGATTGATTAAAATTAATTAAAATAAATATTACGTTAACTTGTGATTGCTGTTTGTTACAGTTACAGTTTTTCCTCCACCATGTGCCTCTGTAAATGATTGACTGTGCATAACATCTCGGTTACGTATGTAACCTTGGTTCCCTGAATAGGGAACGAGATGCTGCGATGATGTCATCGCTTTAGGGAACACCTTTGGTGTGACAAATGTCTGAAGCACTTATACCATCACGCCAATTCATTGGCCAAATAGCGCTTAGCACCACCCCCGACGCGCACGTAGGTGAGCTATATCAGCGTGCTGCGTGCTATTTCATCAGATTTCCACTTGTTTACGAAGGAAGTAAATGAAGTTAACCAACTAACATTATACATACCCTTTTGGTTTCTGTACCCAATATTTAAAAAATTTACAAATGCAATAAAAATATCGGTATCGGTACTCGGTATCGGCAAGTACCAAAAATAAAAGTATCGGTATCGGGCGAGTACTGAAAAAAGTGGTATCGGTGCATCCCTAGTAAAAACTGTTTGAGAGCCAGGAAGACAGCTAGCATCTCCAAACGA